AAAAAAAAAAAAAAGAAAAAAAAACAGGAATTAATAAAACAACGAGCGGTATGCATGCAAATAAGGGATTGAAACATGGGCATAATTAGATTAAATCCTTCTAAGCATTACATGAATAGAGATATGGACTGGAATAGATTGAAAACTCATATTACTCTTGATTGACAATATTCCACATCTCTGATAACTAATATCACACACTTATTTTTATCTCCGGTATTACATACTTATTTTATATCAGTCTTCGTACATTTCCAAGAGTTCCATATATTTTTCAATTTTTACAAGAAAAAGACAAAACAAAAACATAGAAGACCGTTTCTCGCAAAATTCGGCCGCTGAAGTAATTTGAACCTAGCGGTAGTGTTACTGCAAGTACTAAATTAATAGAAGCCAAATTTAAGTAAAAGTTACATAATACTGGATGATATCGATGAGTGATGTGACCCAATAAAGACGATAGTACCGATCGTGTGTTAACTTTGTTAAATACGCACTAAGTTTATTGCCAACAAACTGCAATTTACACCTCATTAGATGTACATATAACAGTGCCAAACTTTAATCGATGATATTAAAAGTTACCAACCTTATTACGGTAGAACAGTGCCAGGCAAGCGATTGTTATATTAACGAAAAATAATACGAGTAAACAGATCACAAACTGAAAAGATTCCGTACAGTCAGTACTCAGATATATTTCTAAATTATCACTGAAATATAATACAGGATTATCGGTTCTCACAGAAATACACTAAAACTTTTCAAATTATAGAAGCGTTTTATCTGATCTCCAGTTGAAGTTATATAGATTCATGTTAAAACATTAAATCAAGTTCAACGGTTTTGCAAAATATTTACCATCCAAAAATCAAGACTACTTATTTGTTTCGCAAATAAATTTTAAATTAAAAGAAGGAAAACGAACGGTGATGAGCAAGCATAACGATTTTTTTATCGCACCACAACAACCAATAAAGCCGATTATCATTGTAACAGAACCAGTAACAAGAGCCAGATAACTGGCCGCACGAAGTAATGGATCATCCTCCGAGAAATCGACCAGGTCAAGGACATAATTACGCCTTGGATCTAACAGTGTCCATAGCGACAAAAATATCAGTGCCAATCCAGTAAGCTGTAATTTTGGTAAAACGTAAACTGAGCAAAAATTGAAAAATTGAAAATTGAAAATAGCACACTCACGACCGAATGAGCAAATCAATCACAAAATAATAACAGTTATGCAAATTTTTAAGGTGCGGTATTGATCATAGGGTCAACAAAGTCAAATTCCAGTGTTTTATAAACAGTGCGCTAGCACAGTATCGACTGAACGAGGTAAACAACAGGTAGTCCTTAATTGTCTTCTAGGTAATAATCTATTAAAAACCAAACATTGCGAATATTACTGGAAGCCATCTTTTAAAGATTCTAATTATTGTTTTCTAATTCACCGTTCAAGGTAATTTACCCAAAAGAAGACGGTATAGAGAAGTACGCATAACTGTGCACATTGGCCATTTCTTTCTTCACTCATTATGCAGATATTCATTCATTTATTCACTTCGATCCTCAAGCTACGATAAAGCGACCCATTGTTGACAACAATCCAACTTCTCATGAATGGATTGAAGATGACCTGAAAAAAACTATTAATCCATTCATCGGTTATAGCCAGTGAACGGACGAGAACATTTTAAGAAACGCTGGATACAGCTGAATGTTTGTTAAGATGAACACGTTGGATTTGCAACAGATGCTTGCATTTAAGCTTACTCTTCCGAAATGAACTATGCAGACTTTTGCTATGAATATTACCATGTTTTTGTGAAGTTGCTTCCATGAACAGTGGAAAAAAAGCTTCCTGATTTCGGTGCAAGAATGACAAAGGTTGGAGGGTGTCGAAGTGTGACTATATATATATATATATATATATATATATATATATATATATATATATATA